TGATTTTGTATTGGTTACTTTCGCTTGTTAATTTACCCGAACACGCTGATAAGGTCCTAGTCCGCTACATCTTCATCACCATCTGTAAAATCAGGGCAAACATGGAAAGTGCAACTTGACTGATGCACGAATCCGTTATTTTTTAAAACTCTATTGTAGAAATAGAAACGAAAGTGAAAAAAGGTATGCCCCGAAGCTAGCTCGTTGGGAAGAGCTTGAAGAGCCAACCGTTATTAAAAAATATCGAGGATAAAAGTGACAGTCGGAAAGTTCTTGTTCTATCCTTGTTCAGACTCATTGTAGTCCACGACCTAACAAACCGATAGTCATACGGGCGCAGTTCTTGAAGATAGCTTACACAGAATCCACTCGCATCCATACCTCCGCATAGTTACGATTTAGTCAGGCTTTCTCCTCGATATACAGCATTTGGTTTGTAGACAGGACACCATAGGGAAAATGGGTTTTAGCTCCTAATCGGAGGTCTCTTCAAGGGAAATTTCGCACCAAATAACAGCCGGTGAAGGGTGCCAATAGAAACACTCAGGAAGAAGGGCACTCTATTGCACGCATAATTAGGTATAAAGAAGTGATTTCCTGTAGACTATGGGTAAGCATGTGACTCGCACGAGCTTGTAGTGCCACCTATTCAAAAACGCGTTTTTCAATAACCCCTTATTAAATTCATCTAAACAAGCTCGGTTTTAATCAGAAGTTAGCAGTGGCTTTGGAATCCATTCGATCTTTTATCCGCAACCAAGTTTGTGGTACTCGAGATTCAATGGGATTACATTGAGGAGCCACAAAGGGCACAAGTTGGCAGCAGCCATGCTGGTACTGAATATTTGTGTATTGATTCATCTCACCGAGCCAGACCTAATGCATTGTAAAGGTGATACACTACTAATAATTGATCAAAACTCCCCGACAACCCACGACCGGTTTCACCCTTCTTGGGGCTCACCATGTAAGTGTAGTCCCCAGGTGTCCCTTAACCTTATGTTCCACTAGAACCCAAATTTAAGGAAATTTGACAAATACACTCATTTTGATACTATTTTGATTCCACAGGAGACTCATCTGATTCCCTCGTTTATGATGTTATTCAGGCGAGTCCCCCGGGAAAACGAAATTGTTAAGCAAGTATACTTGTAGAACTAAGAAAATTCTGATAGAAGTAAAACCACCGGCTCTAGGTCCTGGTATAATACACGAGTGGTGTTCAGAGACTGTGGTTTCAAATGGTTACCAAACAATGACAGATCTTTTTATTTTCGAAGTTGGCAAGGGCCTGTCTTAACCGTTGATTGTTCTTCCAAATTGTGGATACTTTGCGATGATGTTTATCCCACGAGCTCGCTTATTTGTTTCCGAACTGACCAAATTTTCATTCGATATGACAATCGGGGAGGTTAGTCATAAACTAAACACTTATCGTTTGCATTCCTCCTCTGTCCTGTCCTGGTGCGGTTATTCTCGTAATTACGTGCCTAGGAGAGGAAGTGCTGAACTCAACGTTTGCTCCTATCACGGCTCATCAGCAGTATATATCGTTGGTCTTCCCAAATTGCGTGACGGCCGGGTTAACACTAATCCACCACCGCACGTTAAACGCACCTCAATTATCACGTCTACACAAGTGAATGTATCCCAGTTTGAGCGATGTAATTGGTCTAAACCGTCAAGAGTTCAAACCTTGGCACAGCAGATGTGCATTGCTGATGTGCTCCAATAGGAGGGAAAATTGTGTTCCACGTTTAGTGTGGACTCACCGGGATAATTCGGACAGGACAGGAGGAGGACGGTTCACACGAGAATCATGTGGATGTGAATTCTACTAATCCTGTGACCACCTACAAACAAAGATATCCGACTTTACGAGTGTTGTCGCAAAACCGAATCGAACATACTTTTCATGCATAATTTCACTTTTTTTCTCACTCAACGGGTCAACATTTGTCCATGACAGTGAAAATCATTATGGTGAAAAAAGGGGATATTTCGCATCTTACTCACCACGAGATTGTTGCACTGATTCCGAGAGCGCCACTTCGACATGCTGAACCTTTTCCTTGAAATCATCTTTCTGAACGGAGATCTAGAAGTAAGAGTAAATCGTTCAGCGTCAGAAGAACTCTAGTCACGTTTCTAGAAGTGGGGAAAATTGAATGACTCTGAGTTCAATATTCAAAGCGCATTATTCTATGGAAACAGTGTTTAAAATGATTCCCAAGGGTGTGTCTAATAATGTACCTTTTTATATCGCATTATATCTTTCTAGAACCAAAAAAATGTACTAAGGTTTTGCCATCTAGCGAGGTTGCCTGAAGGGACTTTTCAAGGTGGTGTCTCCCGGTAAAAGAAGTTCCGAAAACCCAATCACAAAAGCTGTCACCTGAATCGTCATCTTCACGCGTAAAAGCAGCTGCATACAGACAAAACAATGTTCAGTTCCCCAATCAATGCAGGGAATGCCTTCCTCATGTCGTTGGCCGGATACCCAATTAGCGTCAAAGTGCACGAAATTCCGTCACACCAGATTTAATTATTGATTTTAATTTGGAGGCCATTTTGCGTTACGGGCCGGGGGTTGGGGTGGGTAGAGTAGGAGTTATGAGATTTCGGAGGTATTGATTTATAGCTACGTCTCAGGATACAAGGGTAAAGTTAACGGCTCATTTTATGCCTTTATATGATCAACGATGAGGTTTACATTAACGGACAACTTTCTTTCAACTTTGAGTATCGTAGTGAAACTTTAGCTGCGAAGCACATCAGTTGCTCTTCTGTGGAACTCAGCAGACTTAAAGTGGGTACACCGCAGGTTTTAATTCAAAAGGCGTTCAAACTCAGGGTAAGGTAGCCTGTACACGATTTGATTGAATAAATGACTGCAATGAAAGACAAAGCCATTTACTGACACTTCTGTATTAAACTGCAAGATAGTTTACTTTCAGTAGATATGCGACGTTGAGTTCTTGATACGGTTTACCTCAAATTTAGTGCTTTCGAGTCCAGCATGTGCGCATGACCAAGTGCCGGCCAGTCTCGGATCAGTACGGTTGATTCGAAGTGTCAGGGATGTTGTACCGTTGGAAAGTTGGACTTTCTCGCAGAACACAGTCGATTCATTGGGAACACATTGTTCATGGGGCTCATCGAACTTTGAACACGATTTGGTTGGCTGGCAGCCTTGGTAACAAAATCCAGAGGCGGTCGCTCCACCAATAGCCGGGCACGATATGAACACATCTACATTCGGTCGAGGATTATTTACAGTACATTTTAGGATAGTGAGTTCCTGTTCATGAGTTGCCTTCAACTCGGGTTTGGAATTCCGACTAGCTGAATCCACCGACGAAGAAACGCGACGTAGCCGTACCAGAATGCCAGGCTCCGAAGATACTGAACGAAACAGGGCAAAGCAAGCGTTTCATAAGGGCTTGGTAAACAGTTGGTAGCTTTTATACTGGGCGACGTTTCACTTTTGACACAAAAGTTTCATCAGGCTAAGTGAGGAGCTCACCAAGTTGGTCGAGTTTTAAGGCAGTTGAAAAATCAGCTAGTAAGACCTCTTCGGATTAGCACACTGTCAGTGTTGAATGTCAATTACAGGGAATTCTCGGTTAGTGAGGTTGCCTAAATCTTACGGTTGATGGGTTGGGATAATTCCAAATTATATTTGATCGCGTCTAGTTCCTTAATCTTCCGATTTAAGTGCTCCAGTTGATGATTCATTTTGGGTGCCACTGGTAGCTTTCGTTGATCTGTGGGCTTGTGAGTGCTGTCTTTGGTGATGATGATGATGACAATGATGATGTGAGTGCTAAGGCGATTTATTTGGGAGGGCGGTCGGGAGTTTGTGAGATTAAGTGCACTTCAGGTTTAAGCTACTTCATTTGATAACTCCTCTTTATGATAAGGGCAGACCAACACGTATCAGCTCGACTGATCTGAAACCATTCTCCGTCTATTTACACTAAGAGGCTTGGCGATTCCCATAGCCTCGACCATCAGTTCCTGTGACATTGACTGTAGTTCCCGCCTGAAAACTACAACATGTTCTAAATCTGTTTTGTGTCTAGTGTGTGTAATACGATCGGTTAGTCTTTCAGCAAACCTCAATATTTATCTGCGTTTCTCCGCGGCCTGTCTATTTTCCTCCTGTGCTCTTCGGTTCTAATGTGAAGTTCCCTGGCAGTCTGTCATTTTAAGACCTTGGTGTAGCGGTTGAACTTAATCCCGTAGACACATTCCCTAGTTTCATTCGCCGGGAGGCGAGCCTTCGATTGCACTAGTGCAGAGCGCAGATTGTTACCCTTCTGGAAAGCTACACTTATGTTTGCGGTGTTCAGAATCCTTCGAATGACTCCGAATGTCGCTTTTGTTTGGGATAACAGCTATCCAAATCCAATACCTGTTGGGTTTCCTTACCGATACCAACACCCTTCGTAAGTGACGCATAATCAAACTATTTGTATATCCGTCATCCTGAAGTTTGTTCTCCAATTTCGAACTATTTGTATATCCGTCATCCTGAAGTTTGTTCTTTACTCCAATTTGGGCTGCCGTTTAATCAACCTCTCCTGTGCACGGGGCCCTTACTCGGTTAGATATTGAAGAGGCAATATTATGGGCCGATTAAGATATGTAGTGGTTAGTGATGGAGCTTCCCCTGTACTGTTTCACAGCTAGGCAAATGGGCACGTGGAGTGAAATTCGCTTGCACCATTGCTGTACCCTCGCGAACTAACATAAAAACTACAGGCTGGCTTTGACGACCTTCAACTCCTGTTTGAAATAGATGAGGCTGATCAAGTAAGTCCGTATGATTCTATGCTACAAAGCATGTAGAACGGTGGTTGAATCTCCTTATAGGTTCTGATATTGAGACTCGTTTGGGACGAGAAACGACTATCGCTTGTGTGGAAATGCGCAGTTTCAGGTGTCCGCTAGACCTCTCTGTATAGGTAGCATTGCAACTCCCGAAACAAATCCTAAGTACACAGTCAGCCTGATCACACAAGGAAATATAATCTTGAGGTTGGAACAAGCCTCTCTCTCTTGTATTGCCCATTAAGAAAATAAGACCGCCCGACTTCATTCGAAAGTCTGCTGATGCGAGATAATCTACACAGTCAATGGGAAGGTCCTTCTTTTCACTCATCTATTAGTTAATGTGTGATCTTGCTAGCTGTCTTCACGTCACGTGTCCACCGAATGACAAGGAAAATAGTCTCCTCAATAGCAATCCAGACACCGCCTCAGATGGGTTGGCTTTCAAAACACAATCGCAGCCAAACACAAACGGTTAGCTGCGATAAGACAATAAAACTTAAAGGTTTCTCGGGACCTTCAGTTTTACCGGCGAGACTCATGCCATTACATAGGAAGTAGAAGAACACTGGCGCATCACAGCAAACGGAATTTTCGATACATATAAAAAGATGTCGTGCAGAAACGCTGTCGATTCATTCTCAACCTGCGTGCGTCAACCGAAATGACAGTCTACCCATGTCAGCTGTCTGCACAAATAAGCAATCAGATCAATCAGATGCCTGGGGCTCAAACCGCAATATTAGGCTCGTCTCCTCCATCACTCAGATAGCGATCTGGTAACGATGGTTTTGTTTTCTGGCTTCTTTATAGCTGGGATTATTCGACTCCTGAAGAAGGACACCGACTGTGGTCGGGAGGTCAAGTAATAGACGGCGGTATGTTTTCACTATGTTATTCCATCACATACTTAATCAGACTAAATGTTTCACAGAACGAACAGCAATTTCAACTTCTTTCGCACCGATTTCTGTGAAGATATTACCTTACCCGTTGTTGGTAAGCCAAACAGTCCAAGCCACAAGAATAGATATTTTTTCAAGCAGCATACAGCCCTGGAAAAAATGGAAGTCAACTTAAACCCCAAACGGTTACTTGATATCCAGAGCATGACTTGAATCACCCGCCCCAGACAGACACACTTCGGGGTCGAATTACACCTTCGCTGTTTTACATTCTGGATGTAGTAGTAGGCCAGAACGGAATTTCCCACGACTCACTGTTTTTAGATGCTTTTTCATGTCCGAGAACAAAACATGTTAGTGCAGTGAACGGTTTTTGTTTCTCTTGGTTGGAGCTCACTCACTGTTAGGTTTGAGAAATATTGGGTCAGAGAGTAATTTTTGCAGTCAGATTTTAGGCTAACTTAGGCACCATAGAAGATCGGTCTCCTAAATTGGTGTGTGTGTGCAACACATGGCTTATTTTGTTACCGTACCATCGGACGCTCTGTAAATGAGTTTTCACGCGGTAGCTTCCAAGGTGGTTGTCCCTGAGAAAAACGATATTCGGCTTTAATTGTGGTGACTCCTCTTTTGAGAAAAATCGCTGTGGACTGGTTATATCTATGGTTATCTTTGAGAAGGATTATTAACGCGCATGTTAAATCACCTGCAAATGGGTCAGTTCTTCCTACAAAAGGCATAAGCAGTTCCGCCCTTTTGCTTACTACCCATCCTATGCGTGTCGTCATTTGTGTGTACTAACTATGAGTACATGTCCCTTAATTTCATCGAAATTTCCCTCAGCTTCATTTGAGATCTCATTGGCGGTAAATGATGGTAGAAGAGAATATCAGTAGAAATCTACTCCGTTCGAAAATCACTAATAAATCTTGAAGAACAGTTAGTCAAGATTCTTCTCGAGACCAAACTACGTATTTATAGTTCTACAGGTTTGTACACAAATGTAGCGCTCCTTTGATCATACGTGAGAATGCACTTTTTAAACGAAACTGTCTTCACTATAGTGATTTATTTGGTATTTCTCTACTCATGGTTTACATACTGAGGAAATTGGGTTCGAGCGATATCGTTCTGCTTGGCTTCTGCTCGCATACTTTCCTCTTTTGTGTATGGGCCGGTAACGCTCATAAAGACCGTTTTCAAGGATGCATTTTTACTCAAAGTTGTAAAGCACTGATGTTATCAAATGTTTGCGTCGATGAGAAAATACGCCTCTGAATGGTATTTAAGGGAATTTCACTCGGTCGTTCTCCACTCTGTTGGCATCTGGAATCCTCGGACGCAGTCGTCCTAGTTGGAAGTAACCAAGGGGTTGCTACTGGAAGAAATGACACTTAAAGAACGGACACAGCTTTCGGTGGATGAAGCAGTTGAGGACATAAGGGTGTGTTTAAATCTTGACCAGTTTACTTTTGGCACGGCTATTTACTCACAAGAACAAGGTTTTGCGATGGGATCTCCAGTATCCCCAGTTCTAGCTAATAGATTATGGAGGATTTTGAACAAACGTCCTTGGCCGGATATCATCATCCGCCGAGAATTTTCTGGCATTATGTTAACGGTACATGTGTTGTAATCACACGTAATGAGGTCTAAAACTTCCATGACTCTTTCAGTATTTTGAATCCGCATATCAAGTTTAGCATGGAGATGGAATCCACCTTGGGCACACTGCCCTTCCTAGACTGCATGACATAAGAATGGTTGAAAAGTAAAACTACTCTCTACCGGAAACCAACAGACACAGGAACCATCTTAGACTACTCATCAGGACACCCAAAGCCCGCGTATACCAGCATTGTCTCATCAATGTTTAGTCAGGTCAAAGTGCCGTGCACGGAATAGGTCGACCAAACAGCAGTTCAAATCAAGGTTACCAACAGACTTCAGGAAATAGGACACTCAGTGAGTTTGATTAGGCAACAAGTTAGAAGGATATTGGCTCCAGTATCAAGACCCAGTGCGGAACGGATGGACACAGCAGTCGTTCCATATAAAACAGGGACGTCGGAGGTTATTCGGAGACTTCTGAACATTGTGAACATTCGATTAGCGTTCCAGAAGGAAAAAACTTTGTGCTCAGTTTTAGTGCAGTTGAATGATCCCTCCGGTTGGAAGGACTGGGAAGTGTGTATAAAATTAAATACAACGATTACACTAGAGTTTACATGGGACAAAGGCCAGAAAACTGCATGCCACAATTGGCGAGCATAAAAGGATAAACAAACTACCAAGGAATGCGGAAGAATACCAAACGCCAGTCAAGGACTTAGCGACGACGGTACATGCGTCCGATGCGGGACAGAATAAATCTGGAGATTGTGGAAGTTTTAAAACGGGGACTGCGACCCATAACATAGCGGCTGATAGTCGAGGCGGTTGAGCAGGATAGAGTGTGTGGAACTGGTGAGCAATCTCAGATAAGTCGAGTTAACACGTGACGGTATGGGATCGTCGATATACGTGGAATCATTGCCAAAAAGCACGGGCAAGGGGGGTGGGAATACCAGACCGATCAAAGTTCACGGAATCCCTCTTCCTTAGACCGCTATCATAGCACTAGCTCCTAGACACTGACGGACGAACAGTGCGAACGTCGTTCAA